TCACTATATGCCAAGAACTGTTGAAAATTTCAAATATGTAATTTCATTTAATCCTCACAATGATCCTATGAAGTAGGTATTATCATTTCTATTTTATATATGATAAAATTGAGGCTTGGAAAAGAAAAGCAACTTTGGTTTATGACTTTGTCTCCCCCTCCACCGATTATGTGGTAAAACCTGATGTAGTTTCTTAGACATAACTGTCCACTATCTACCCCCAACTTTGTTTTTAAATAGTGAAAGTAAAATTTTAAATGCCCCTTGTGAAATTTGGGACCTCTTGCTATGTAGGTTTTGGAATCACAAACTTTAGAGATAGATGGGAAGTCTTAGGAATTCAGATTTTACAGATGGAAGAAATGACACCCAGAGGAGTTATACATCTTAGCCAAGGTTGGTTCTTGTATGTGCCCAGACCCGGAATCAAACTGGCAAACTTGTATTGGGATGACACTCCAACCAATTGAGCTATCTTGAGCCAGGGCTTGCTTTAATTCTTAAGAGAATATATCATGCTCCCACTAAAACAAACACTTGACCCTAGTACTTATACTCCAAATCCCTATCACATTTTTGTCCCTGATAAACTGGGCTAAACTATGAAGTAATAAGTCAGTATCCCCAAACATACTATTGTGATACTATTCAACACAGTGGTTGCCTCTGGGGTTGGGAATTAACAAGAAGGGGGCATAAGGAAACTTTTGGAATGATGGCATTTTTCTATATTTTTATTTGGTGTTGGCCATATGAATGTGTATATTAGCTCAAATTCACCTAATTATACTCTAGTGCATTTTGCTGTCTGTAAAATGTATCTTTATTCTTTAGAGTCAGAATCTTTTTTTCCCCTTAAATCAAATATCAAAGTCTCAAATGTCTACATGAACTTGGCAGGTGAGGTAAATTTGTAGTGGGCTGAGTAGAATACCATAGGGAGATTTGAGGGCTGCTTCCAAATTGGAGAGGGTGTGCTCTTTATCTGGGTCACATGGACAATACATGCAGGAGCAGAATCTGTGTTTAACAGGCACCTCAGGTGTTTTGATTATTGGTCAACTACCATATTTTTCCGTGTATCAGACACTATTTTTTTCTAAAATCATATAAGACACTATTTTTTTCTAAAATTGTTAGACTGAAAATCGAGGGGCATCTTATACACGGAAGGCAGCCAAGGAGGGAGCCGCACAGGTGCATAACTGCCCATACCTTGTCAAACAGGCTTCCTCCAATCACCAGCCTTATTGTCACTGAGTTGGAGAGTGCACAGATACAACGGGGATCAGTGCGTTCTGAGCCCATAAAGATGTCAAAAAATAAAAAGATAAATACCAGTAAGAGATTGTCTTACTCTGCAAAATTCAAACTGAATGTAATCATCTATGCAAAAGAGCATGGAAATAGAGCTGCGAAGATCATTTGGACCTCCTCCCACTGAGTGTATGATCAGATAGTGGAAAAAAGAAGAAGACCTTAAAAGGAAAATGAGCAAAATGGGCAAACTTGGAACAGAGGCTTAAGACTTGGATTATGGAGCAGCACCAGAGTGGCTTATGTGTGTCAAAGAAACTTATTCAATGTCAGGCAAGAATGTTTGCAAGCAAAATGAACATTGTTGATTTTACAGGAAAGGCAAATTCATGAGGAGAGAAGGGTTGGCCAAGAGAACACGAACAAAGTTAACTCAGAAAATGCCACCAGTTTATGAGGTGATCTCACATATATGGACAGTGACTCAGAAAACAGCAGTGATACAATAGAAGTGGAAAAACTTGATATGACTGGAACTAATAGTGATGAAGAGAGCAGTGATGCGACAGAGACTGAATAAAGTGATATGCTGCGTAACATCATAGTACTGGTATGTAAACATTACCTGTGGTAGTCCTATCTAATAGAAGACAAAAATGGTAATTGGCGTACGACCGATACCCTTTTCATTGGCTAATCAGCGAGATATGCAAATTAACTGGCAGCCAAGATGGCGGCAGGCAGCCAGGCAGCTGATGTGAACAGGGAGGCTTGCTTGCTTCAGTGATGGAGGACTACAACGTTCCCCGCCTGCCGCTCCAGCCTCTGAGCTCCTGAAGCAACAGCTCCAAAAGATACAATGTTTCAATTATAGAGCTAAAAGATGGTGGTTAATTTGCATACACCAGTTGCGAGGGAAGACTGAGGACAAAATGGAGGCCAAGCAGTTGGGAGGGGAAGGGGCAGCCCCTGGGAGTGGGAGGGGAAACCCGCCACAGCTCCTGGGAGCGGGAGGGGAAACCCGCCCAAGCGCCTGGGAGTGGGAGAGGAAACCCGCCACAGCGCCTGGGAGTGGGAGGGGAAACCCAGCAGGAGCAGCTCGGAGTAGGAGCGAAGCCTGCCTCAGCTGGTTTCGCTCCCCTCTCCTTGGCTCCAGCCACTGGAAGCCCTATTCTTGCAGGAATCTTCCTGCAACGGGCCTCTAGTTACTAAATAAAAACGTGTTCTGGCCCTAACCGGTTTGGCTCAGTGGATAGAGCATCAGCCTGTGGACTGAAGGACCCCAGATTTGATTCCGGTCAAGGGCATGTACCTGGTTGCGAGCATATCCCCAGTAGAAGGTGTGCAGGAGGCAGCTGATCGATGTTTCTCTCTCATCAATGTTTCTAACTCTCTACCCCTGTCCCTTCCGCTCTGTAAAAAATCAATAAAATATATTTTTAAAAATGTGTTCTGTTTTATGTTTAAAATATTGATTTCTTAATTTTGGGCTGGAAAAGTGGGGGGCATCTTATACATGGGAGCGTCTTATTCACAGAAAAATATGGCATGTGATGCACTGTGCTATGTCACAGAGCAATTAATACTCTCCAAAGTGAGATGCATAAGATGGCCTATTGAAATGTAAGAAGATTAATACTTAGAACTTTCTTCTATTATTTTTCATTTTCATGTTCTTTTTCTTCCTTGTTTCATTTCAGAACATACAAAAGAATCCACAGAAGGAAGTATACCACATTTATCTTGCATATCCCATGCTAAGTCAAGCAATTGAGGTCTGGAGTACAGGACATTCCAGAGATTGCAGTGAGTAGACAGTCACAATGCAGGGATGGGCACTGCTCCATTGGCAAGACTGAGCCTCCGTGGAAGAAAGCAACACGGCTACCACCATTGTAAGGAAGGAACAAACTTCACTGCACATTTCATCCTGAAGGAAAAGGTAAGAGCACCATGGAAATCACGCCCTCTCCAATTCTAAGTGCAAGCTGAACTGTGCTAAGTGATTCTCTGCAAAAGGAAAAAGCTAGTGTGTGTATTTGGGGTGGGGAGGGGAGGAGGCTGCTGAAGCAGTTGGAATGGTGAGGCAGTGATGTGTTTGTTCAGAGAAGTGTACCAGCTTGTTGATCAGCTCAGTGTGGTAGAAGGCAGGCATACCTGTGAAGCCAGGGTGAAGGCCCCTGCTTTCTGGTT